GATGATGATGATGATGATGGTGATGTCGGTGTTGGTGTTGGTGTTGTTGGTGGAGGAGGTGGTGATGGTGGGAGTGATGAGGTGGTGATGATGATCACGAGGAGCAGGAGGAGGAGGACGAGGAGGAGGAAGAGGAGGAGGAGGGACAGCAGGATAAGCAAGAGGCATGATTATGATGCGGAGGAGGAGGAGGAGGAGCAAGAGGAGGAGCAAGAGGAGGAGCAAGAGGATGAGCAGGAGCAAAGAGATATCAAGGATGAGGTGGAGGTGGATACGGAGTCCGAGGATGAGGAGGGAGAGGAGGAGGAAGAGGAGGAGGAGCAAGAGGAGGAGCAAGAGGAGTAGTAAGAGGAAGAGGGGGAGGAGGAAGAGGAGGAGGAGGAGGAGGAGGAGGAAGAGAGCCTATCCTCGTGGCCGGACTGCGGGGGGCAGGTATCGTGTGGAGGATGAGCAGCAGCAGCAGGAAGGAGGCGGAGGAGGAGGGGCAGCAGCAAGGGTGAGAAGGTCTGAATAGGTACTCACTCAGTGATTTTTGTTGGCGCGCATCCCAGCTTGTTTCATGACCCCCTCTTGTCCCCGCCCCGTGTGGGAGTCGGGAAATGGAGGGGAAGGCGGGGGAAGGAATGAGGATGATGGAGGGAGGTGGAGCCTACCAGCCGCCGCCCCCTGTGGAAGAATCAGAGTCCAGCTCCCATGGGCCCGTGGGCGCGAGGCGCACTGGGAACAGAGCCAGGAGGAATTGCAACGGCTTCCTGGGATGTGGGGGGCGTCTTGGGATTCTCTTCGGGGCGTATCTGGGTCCTCTTGGAGGCTTCGTGGGCGCCTCTCAGGAGCCTCCAGAGGCCCTAATGGAGGTGAGTGCCTCTTGGGGACCTCGTAAGGGGGCACTGGGGGGTCTTGGGTCTATCTTGGAGGGGCTTCCAGTGGTTTCGCGGTGGCGCGTTTTTAAGCCCCTCTTGGGGCCGCCCTGGCCCCTGGGAGTCTCGGGGGCCTTCTTGTGGCGATGTTCGGGGCCTCTTTGGCCAGTGTGGACGCTCTTGGGGCCGAAGATGCGGTAATGTTGAAGACCTGCCACATCCCCATGTCTGAGTGATCCTAGTGTCTGAGTGACAGCCCCCAGGACTTGCCCCAAAATGCCTCAAAGAGATCCCCAGGACAGATTTGTGAAACCACTTCGTGGTCATAGATATGGCCGTAATTCGGAAACCCAGTTCATTTGCAGGTTTAAAAAAAGTTCCTGGCATGCGCTAGGATAGAGCGTGTCGGAAGCCAGGATTCTGATCCTTGCTCCCGAGACGTCCAGAACTGTCGTGCGGCGAACGCAAAGGCGCCCGGGTGCGCTTAGGAGTAGTGGAAACCGAGGGTATGATGCCCTTGTGTATGTGCAAAATCCAATATTAAGGACAATGGAGGACTTGAGGACACTCCACTCAATGCCCACTCCACTCAGTGCCTGCAGCACGGTGGCAGATGCGGTCGAGAACGCTTGCTTAGCGTGCCGCTCCGCAGGTTCTGGCCCACCACGCTTCGGCGCGACACGTTGACCACTTCCTCGTCCCAAACCCTCAACGTCCCGAGCTTTTCCTCGCTTCCCGCCCCACGGAGCGGGGCGACACGCTATCTGCTCGCAGGGCATTGCATGTCGCCGGGGCCGCCGCCGCAACACATTAAGCAAAAGTTCTCGACCGCATTCCTCATTGAGGACAATGGAGGACTTGAGGACACTCCACTCAGTGCCCGCAGGACGGTGGCACATACTTGTGCGAATGCAGACAGGATGTACGGTGGAAGGGAAGTGGGAGGAGCCTTTGCTGCGAGGGCTCGTGGCCGCCTGTCTCTCGCAGGCTGGCCAACCGTGCCGTCATGAAGGGGAGCACGGACGTGAGCGTGGACCAGGTGACACACTCGGCGAACGGCTCAGACGAGGCTGCCAAGAAGATGACGGGGAGGAGGGAGGTGGAAGAGATGGTGTGGGGAGAGAGGAGCAGTACGTAGGCAGTAGGATGGTGATGATGAGGACGAGGAGGAGCACGAGCAAAAGTGATGAGGATGGTAGGAGGGCGGAGGATGAAATGAAGCAGAGAGGAAGATTAATGAGGCGGAAGCGGATGAGAATAATGACGTCTCGACGTGTTGTGCAGTACAGCGTGCACGGACACATGCAAAACGGAGGAGGAGGAGATTGGAGAAGTTTTATCTGTTTGGCCTGGAAGCTGGTCCTGTCGACGAATGCTTGACCTCAGTTGCACCAGTTGCGGGCTGGTGCAGTCGGATGTCGCGGGAGAAACACCTAAGTCATCAGAGGAGGAAGGGATACCGATACTGCCACGCGTTCTTCGTCGCCACAGCTGGATTCGCCTCAAAATCCTGGTCCGCAAGTTCTTCAGAAGAGGTCAAGGGAGCAGCGGCATCCATATCTTCACGCTCCCCCACCTGAGCGGATGCCATAACGAACCGCACGGTGGAGAATCAGGCTGACTACATGATCACATCATATAAGAAATCGGCCCCTGTCAGCAGGTACCCCACGGAAATTGATCCCCGGAGGGCCCCATGGACCCACAGAAGCTCAAGGGCACCCTGTTGTCCCCACAGATCGACGAGGAGTGTGCCCAAGAATGTGCCCACTGTGCGTGCACGCCGCTGGTGCTCAACGAGCCCATCTCCCAGGCCGCCAGGAGGGCCCTGCAGCTGCGCGCTCACTTCGGCGGAGGCCGCCCACGGGCCTCGCAGACGGCAGGCGCCTCAGATACACGGGGACGCCATGCCGGGGCGTGGCCGGAGCAGGGGGCAGCACGGACCGTGCCAGGAGCAGGCGGAGCGTGGCTCCCCAGAACGACGGCGGCTTGCCCAGGGGGGAGGGCTGAGGGGGCGGGCCTGCTCAGAAGACGGAGGAGGCCTCCCGCATTCCGAGAAGCTTGCCGAGCCGTCTCCGAAGCCGCGCCGCCTTCTGAGAAGGCCTATACTCCCTCCCACTTCCCCCCTCGGCGCGCCGCCGAAGAGAGGCAGCGGTGCGGACGGAGGCGGAGGCACTGTCTTTGCTCAGGCGTGTAAGTATATATGTATATATTGCAGAGGGCAGTGCTGAGCGTTCTCCGGCAAGCCACCGAGCTGGAGCTGTTGCCCTCCGTGGGCACGGGGCAGCGACAGTCAAAGGAGCCTTTCTTCCCTGCCGCCCCCTCATCGTCCTCGGCCCCGCCGTCGTCTTCCTCGTTCTCCTCGTCCGAATTTTTCGTCGTCCTCCATCCTCCACCACTCCAGATTTTGCCCAGGGTGTCCACGGTGCCCGCCAGCGACGACCTCCCGCCGCTGAACCTCGAGGCAGACTCGCGCAGCCCCCTCTCGGACCAAGAAGGATTTGAGCTGGCGGGAGGAGGAGGGACGGAGGGTGGGAGGAGAAACATGGAGAAGGAGGAGGAGGAGGAGGAGAAGGAGAAGGAGGAGGAGAAGAAGGAGAGGATGGAGGAGGAAGAGGAGAAATGGTGAGAAGGGGGTGGTTCCGATGCTGTTCGCCTTCTTCGAGCTTTCTGGGGGGCCCTCGGCGCCACGGCCAGATCCCCCGAACGAGATTTCTGGTCAGACCGCGTTCCTGGACAGGTCCAGGTTTGGATGTGGAGAGGGAAGGGAGGAGTGGGGGGCAGGAGGACGAGGAGGTTTAGGAGGAGGGCGTAAGGCAGTTTCGTTCAGGAGCGCCCCGCGATGGACGAAGCGTCAGCCAGAGACTTTCGAAGCGGATCGTCGCGATTGTCGTCCGAAGTGGTTGTCGAAATCACCTTGATCGGACGGAGGCGCATGAGGGGCTAAATTGATGTAACGCGGTTTTCAGATGTTTCTAGAGGTTTCTGGATGGAGAAGGAGAAGGAAGAGGAGGAGGAGGAGGCTGAGGAGGAGGAGGCTGAGGAGGAGGAGGAGGAGGAAGAGCCATAGTTGAGAATTCCAAGCCATCCCAGTACGTGGTAGGACTGAGCACGAGCATGTGCTTGCGAGGTCTCATTGTCGTTGACATGCCACATCACTCGGGGCAGCAGCAGACTCGGAATCGGCGTCTTGCGCTTGCACCACGTTGCGCTCGCTCGACCGCATCATAAGGTCTGACGGGATGCGATGTGATACGTCGCTGGTGTGGCTCTCCCATTTGGCCCCTGTTATGCTACCCCAAGTTTGACGTACAGTTGCACCGATTATCGAGACACCTCCGCCATTCATGTTTAACTTGACTTCTCTTCAATCAGCCTCCACGAAGACGGACTAATTTCTATATCAGCCACCTTGTATTTGCACGCTTCAGTAGGTCAAGGCTAGCTCAACCTGGGCCATGTGAATTCTTCATGAAGCAAGTCAGAAGCCACGAAGGAGACAAGTGACTTTGGAGGGGTGCTGGCCCAGTCTACGTCGCCTGAGGACCATTCTGGCCATGCCTCGAACCAATGCACATGTTGTTTGTTTTCCAATCAATTCCTGGCTCTTCTTTCGCATGCGGCACGCTCGCTCATCTTCTAGGCCACGACTCAGTGCATGAGTTTACCTATCGCAGGTCGACTCGTGTGGTGTTCCCGGTTTGCCTGGCTACCTTTTGATTCGCACAGCGGTCGAGGCAAAGTTGGGTGAAGCTGTGGTCGTGCTTTCTCCAGTCCATTCCTGGCCAGACCGGACGCTCTCTAGCTCGGCGGCCTATTGGAGTCCACTCGGTTTTCCGATGGGACGTCGCGCGCGATACTCGCGGGCATCTTGGGGCCTTCGTGGGCCACTAGTGGGCAGTTGTGGCGACTCTGGGGCCGTCTTCTGACAATCGTGAGGTCTACTGGAAGCGAGGAGCGCGACAGGCAAAACGGATTGAGGCGTTGCAGTCGTCTGTTTCAGCGCTCCCGAGAGGCACGATTGTAGGCTACATTGGGCTATAGGATGCCATCTGGGGCGTCTTGGTGACAGGCCTGGGCGGTCTTGGGGCATTTGTGAGCCATATTGCGCAGTCTTTGTGCAATTGTGTGCCGTCGATGGCCCGACGCATTGGTGTACCAGTGATTCGTTGCACTCTTGATATTCATTCCGAGCCCCTGTAAATCGATTCGGGGCCTGATCACAACTGGGCCTGTGCGTTCCCGCGATTAGGAGAGTAGTCAGTCCCATCAATGTGTTCACATTGGCAGACGTACTTCAAGTCAGTAGCAAAACGGTACGGAAGGAGTTGGCACAGACGCATTGGCTCAGTTGTAAGTTTGGTCCAAGGGAGACGCGGACTGCCTGCCACGACGCCCCGACGGGACTGCTGAGCTGACTCGCGCTGCCGAGGTGAATGCGCATGCCCGCCTCGAGTTGGGAGGCTGGAGCGCAGACGCAGCTGCGCTGGGCCATCCGGCACCTCCCCGCCTCGTCTCCGCCCGCCGCCCCTCTCGCCTCCTCCAGGGGGCCGGCCAGGCCTCCAGCGCCTCCTGCCTGCGCACGGGGCTGCACGCGCAGGGCCGGCCCGGCGGCCGCCCAGGGCCCTGCCAGGAGGCGGCCATGCCCTGCCTGGGCCGGCCGCTTCCTTTCCGCCCTCGGCCTGGCTGCCCGGCGCCGGGCGCGGCGCGCCTGCGGGGGCCGCCTGCCGCGGGGCTCCTCGGCGCCTCCCTGCGGCGAGGCCGGCGCCAGCGGCGCCTGTCCGGGGCGCGGCGGGCGCAGGGCGCGGCCGCGGCTGCTGGTGGCCGGCGAGCCGCTCACCGCCCGGCTGCAGTGGCACCCCGCAGAGGAGCTGTGCCATGCCTCTATCGGTATACCCTGCCCTTGTCGCCGTGGTCGGATTCGCCTCGGAATTCCGGTCATAGCGCGGCCCTGGAGAGGTGTCTGGGGAGCGGCGGTTCCAGACAGTAGCTTCGTGTCTCCCCAGGTACATGCCCCCGCGGCGGCCCTACAGCCGCAGGGAGCTGCTGGCCGACCGCGCCGTGAACCTCTTCGGGGCAGGGCTGTCGTGGCTGGGCCTCTACTCTCTGATCCGCATGTCGTTGGCCGCAGGGGACCCCGTCAGCCGGACGGCGGGCTATCTCATGTTTGGCATCGGCTTCGTCTCCATGACGAACCTTTCGGCGATCTACCACCTCATGTGCTGGGACTGGCGGCGGGCGGAGGAGCTGTACAGCCTGGACAAGGTCGGGATCAATCTCATGATCATCGGCGCGTACACTCCCGTGTGCCTGCAAGCGAACACTCCGTGGATTCTGGCGTTTGTGTACATTCTTGGTTGTGCCGGTCTATTCATGGAGGCGTATGCCCTGTGTGGCAGGCAACCTCTGGCAGCAGCTGCATCCCTGAAGGGAGGGAGTGCCAACTGGACTTTGGCCGAGAAGCTGAATTTGTTGCGCTACCTGCTCATGGGTTGGGCCATTGTCTTTGCCGCGCCAGTAATATGTAGATCGTTTCCCACGCCTCCGCTGCTCGTCGCCGCCGTGGGCGGCTTCATCTACACGAGCGGCGTAGTGTTCCTGGTGCTGGACAGGATCGAATTCCATCTCGCGATTTGGCACAGTTTCGTATTAATAGCTTCGTTGTGTTTCTATATGCTGAACGTGATGCTTGTGGGCCTTTCTGCAACCATCTAAGCCGAAATCAACGATAACCAAACATGTGTTATTGTCCTCCCCCTTTCAGTGCCGTTGTTTCGAATGGAGCGCTGCTGCTTCTCTCCCGCACATCGCCTGGTTCCCTCGTCATTTCCCTATTCGCTTCCTCTGTTCTCTTTCCCTTCGTCGCACTCCCTGGGTGCTCCAAGGCGTGCAGCTGTGACTCTCCCTCCCCGGTTTCTGGCCGGCGTGCAGTTGGCGCCTCTTCCCAGCGCCACTCGAGGGCGGGGGGGAGCGGAGTTGGCGGGAAAAGTATGTCTAAATGAGACCTCGCCTCTCCTGGGTGCCGCCAGGTGTGCAGCTGTCGCATGTCTCCTGTCCCCCCTTCATTGAGATTCCAGCAGAGAGGCGGGACGCGCATATCTAAACGAGACTACGCAGCAGATCGGTGCGCCTCCTCGGAAAGCCGCGCCACCCCTCTCCACAGTAGGCACGTCAAAGGAGGAAACGGCCTGCCAGTAGGTGCCCCGGGGAAGTTTCTACTCATCCCCCGTGTGTCGTGTCAGCTAATTTCGTGATGTGAGCGAGCTGCGGAGGTGGAGACTGTGCTAAAAAAGCTGTGCGGGTTTTGCTACGCCGTGTTACTGCTTCTGGGGGGAATCTTTGACCGCACGTGCCCGCCGCATCCTGGCCCCGAGATGAGATGATGAGATGAGCACTTCGGGCGGCAGAGACAGCGCGGGCCAGCCTGGAAGTGCGTGTATGGAGCCCGAGCCCCACGAGGGACGGAGTCCCGGCCCCCCTGGTGCTCGCCGCGCCGCAGCCATCGTGGCTGCAGCCCGGCCGCCGGCCGCCGCGCGGGCCGCCGCGCCGCCCGAGGAGACCCCGCGGCGCCCAGGCCTGCCGCCGCGGCCCGCCGCCCGGGGCAGACCGTGCGGCGCAGCACCCTGCGGCGGCCCGCGCGGGCCCCGCCGCATGCCCGCGCGCGCCTGCCATGGGCGGCGCCCGCCGGCGCGGCGGAGCAGGGCCCCCGCCGCTGCCGACGCCGCTGCCGACGCCGCCGCCGCCGCCGCCGCGGCCCGCGGCGGCCCTCGGCGGGCCCTCGGCAGGCCCTCGGCGTGCCCGGCAGCGGCCCTGGCGAGCGGAGCGCAGGGCGGCGGCGGGCGCGGCGTCGTCGCCGTTTCCGTCGCCGTCGTCGTTGCCGTCGTTGTCGTCGCCCTCAGATGTTGGTGGGTGTCCACTGCTGTCAAGTCTACCTGAATGACGGTTCACCCTCCCAGGCACTCCGTCAAAACAGTGCTAGGCAGCAGAAGCGCGCAAGTGAGGCTCGGACTTGTGTGATTTCGGGAGTCCCTGCGCAACCCGTTGGAACGCGCACCCCAACCCTGTTTGCGTGATTTCCTGAGTCGGAGTCGCAATGCAACCCTTTGGAACGCTCCACCCAGCTCTGCGCGCAAGTGTACCCGCCCAGTTGTAAAGAAAACAGTCTCTCGTCATGCCCCTCATCTGTCTTTGGCCGCGGCGGCTGCGTAGGAGGAGGAGGAGGAGGAGGAGGAGGAGGAGGAGGAGGAGGAAGAGGTTACGGAGGAGGTTCCGGAGGACAAGGGGGGGGAGAGAAGGGGAAAGGGGAGCATGGGGGAGCAAAACCATAATGGGAAGGAGGAGGAGGAGGAGGAGGAGGAGGAGGAGGAATAGCAGGGGGAGCGGGAGGATGAGCAGGGGGAGGGAACATGAGGGACGAGGAGTAGCAGCAGAGGGAGACGGGGGGTGAAAAGAGCAAGGCGGAGGAAAAGGCGGGGAAGACTCATGCGAGTCAGTCACTCTTCTACTCTAGACTCTAGACCTTGAAGACACTTCAAGACAACGTCGGGTGATGATACGGCCTAGCCGAGGCACATCCACTGCACAATTCACTTGCTGAAAGAGAGGCCGCAGCAGATCTCCTTGACACCCCTCCTCGACATCCCTTCCTGATATCCAACACCGACGGAGACTGCTTGGCCTGGAAAGCCCTGGGTCGACCAGGGGTGGTGGGCTGACGGCAACTGCTTCGAAAAGTGACAGGCGCATGTCAGCCGAAACCATCACTAATCTGATGAGTCGGACAAGGGTGCTCGTGCCTCCTGCGCCCCTCTGCAGTCGAGCGTCTGCAGCTCACTGGGGGCCACGGGGCGACTGGGAGGCAGAAGGCCAGGGCACAGCGCCTCGGCACGGACCTCGGCAGGGGAAGGAAGGGGGGGGGGACGAAGGACAAGGACGAAAGGAGGGGGAGGAGGGGGAACGGGGTCCCGAGTTTGAGGGTCGCTCCTGGAACAATACTTCTGCGGAGCTTTGACCGCTCGCTGGACCTGCGCGGGCGCGTGCCAGGGAGCAGGAGTCCTGTGGCCGCGCGGGACGCAAAACAACCACAGTCATTGCAGTAGATGACTGGGGGATCACTGCTCACAATTCTTGCCCCGAAGAGTTGGTGCCCCTGGCCCCCTCCTGACGAAAGGAGGGATTGTAAAGTGGGGGCCATGGCATCACATGGGAACGTGCTCGATGGTGAGCACACTCTGAGGCACCGAGAGCATCTGCAGGCGACTCCATCCCAAACAGCCAGGTGCGGGGAGGCTTTTGCCTTAACGGCTTTCGGACGTCTAGCGCGGGACAGTTTGCCATGCATTTTTTTAGCGGTGGCCAATTGCTTAGAATCTGGATCTCCCCCGCAGTTAGGTTACAGTATTCTGCCACAGCTTGCTGATAGACCTCAACCGTTGCAGGTGGGTGCCCATAGGCCCTCGAGGCAAGTCCAGCAAAGTGGTCCGCGAGGGCGTTCCCTTGGATCGCGAGACGCTCGAGGTCATCTTCAGCACTACTTAGGTCTCTGTGGGCCCTAATGTTGATAAATATTGGCCAATCACTCTGGGCTAGCTTGCGCGCCGCTGGCCGCCAGTACTGCGAACGACGATTCCTCCCAGATACCTAGTGCACTGCAATCATAGTAGTTCATTGTTTCAGCTGGCTGGTCCGACCTTATGATGGCTGAAGGCACTACTGCATGCTCTGCATCACCACTGGTCTGAGGGAAATCTCGAGGGAGCGGGGAAAACATGGCACGAATGAGATTGCCTGCGTCATCAATCTGAACTGCCGCCACTCCAGCCCTCGCCAGGTCTGGGTTGGTTGGGTGGTCGCACCCACCATCTGTGAAAATCAAAGCATCTGCAGGAAAGTTAAATGGTTCAATATGCGCCATGCCTGGGCCCACGAATCTAAGATCCCAATCTGGGCTGACTGGGTCCAAAGTGGGGAGGGGCTGCCAGAGATAGCTAAATAACGGGTGGTCAGGCCCAGCTTCCAGAGCATCCTGGATTATAGACGGGGCAGAAATCTTGTCTCTTTACATTTCCAAGTCCGATGGAACACCGGGCCAGTTTTGCCACAGAAAGCACATTCAGCAGGGACGTCATAGCCCCACCTGCTGAGGCTGGTCCCATTGGGGACCGAGCATGAACGAATCTGTTTGAGAACAGGTCTCTATTGCCCTCCAACTCTTTAGAATTGAATGCCTTTTTTCGCGGCAGACATCCATATGCCCTCTGCCCGAATATGTTTGGCAACTGGGTGGGTCATGGATACAAGCTTCTTGTTAAAAGCTTCAGCTAGCTTGGTGGCCGAAAGCGCTTGGACAAAGTACTGTACCACCTTAGCAGGCGGCACTTCAGTTAGTACGAGCTTCTGTCCAGCATTCGTGACGAGGGTAGCAGGGGACTCGATAGTCTACCCTACGATTTTCAGCCACACAATAACATCTAAAAGAGGACCCCTGTTCCGAGAATCCCAAGATTTTTGGACAGTGGACTCAACCCATGCTTAGGCTTCTCTGAGCGCTGTCGAGAGACTGCTCAAGGGGATGGCATCTGCATGTGCTGAGCCCCCTTCGGGACGATGGTTGGTGCTGTGCCACCACTCATGTGCATATATTTCTAGAGTGGATGCTGCTATAGAAATAAGGTGTTATTGACCTCTGGATGTGAGGGCCCAGGAGATGTCCATTAGGCAGTCTGCTTGCTTCACCCCCATGGCCACAGCCGCAGCCTTGCGGCTAAACCTTCACGAGGAGAAAAACCCTGGACCAGGCGTCTGGTCCCTCGGAAAACCAACGGCTTACGAACCCTTCTCCTGAGTTTTCTCCATCTACTCACTCGATTTCTCAGTGCACGAACCTGTGCTTGTGAACGGCCTCCGAGGTAATCCACTCCAAGATTGGCTGAGGCCTGTTCAACTGCTCCTGCCAGGAGTCCCAAAGCATGTTTAGCATATCGAATGAGCTGAATGGAGTTCCCCGTGACATTCATGTTCTTTGCCGATAGCGTACAATTTAGATATTATTTGAAGCGATTGCGTGAGTGTGGTAATCGTCTCAATGCAGACCGTCGCTGATTCCGACCAGGTGTGGAGCTGCAGGTCGTCGATGTGAACCCCCAGCGCAGGCGCATTTGGCTCGTGTGTCCAGCTCTGGACTGTCGGCATCAGGTAAGCTGTTGCCTCAAACGTCGCAGTAGTCGAACCTGCAATGATGCCTGAGTGTGGATATATGGTACTGCTGTGTACACCGTCAAGCAACAACATTCTGCCCCATCTGTAAAAGCCACTGGTGTAAAGTATCACATATAGAGGAAAACCAACGAGACCAGCTTGTTCAAGTAGTTTCACATGATTGCTTTTCTTATAGAATTGTACCAGGTCCAATAAAAACACATGAATACGAAATCCCCTGGGAAGTGCACCATTCACTCCGAACCGCATTCCTCCAAACAATATCTTCAGGACCTCGTTTTTGGGACATGCTGTATGGTGGGCCCAAACCAAACTCACGTTCTCAACTTCTGCATGGGGCCAGATGTAGTTCAGCGTGTAGTCTTGGCATAGCGGGGTAGTGGCCCAATGGGCGCCGGCCTCCTTGGGGCTTCTGGGCAAGGAGGACGATGATGGTTTGAATTGATTTCGGCGCCGTTCCCAAGACATCCATGATGTGGAAGATAAGCGATAGCGCTCGAACGGCATCCTGCGAGATCAACGCGTAGTGTCTCGGATGCATGCCATCAGGGGTACAAGTCTTTAGCTTGAACCTCCTGGCGGTACGTTTGATCGCATCTGGCTCAGTGGGAATTGGCACTGGGGCAGGCGCTAATCCTGTACGAGAAGGCGGTGCTGCTGGGCACCGTGTAGCTTCCCATGCAGACGACCAATGCTGGGATTCCTTGCACAAGCGATTTGGTAGCGATGACGCGGCCATCTAGGCACGTGTCCACGTCTTCTGGTGTGTATTCTTTGCCTCGAAGATAAGGAAATGCCTTCTGCGCACTGTCACCTCCCGCCTCATTGCACCGCTGCTCCCACTCCGTCCTCTGCTTCCTTCTCTCCTTCAGTTGGCCGGGCTTAAAACACCGTGTGACAAATCGAAGCACTGCGCCACCAAAGCCGCGCGAGCTGCCGGTGACTCTTTTGCAAGAATAGCTGCAGCTACGCCTGACAGATAACAGTGCCAGAAGGACCCTCCTTCCTTCCAGTACTGCCTAAACGGTCCACTTCTCTGTGGAAGTTGCCAAAGCTGTCGCAGTAATTTGACGGTGTAAACATGCAAAGGGTGGTTCCCGTTTTTGGCCAGGAGGGATTCTATCTCTTGCAGACGGTTGCAGGCCCATTGAAGGGCCTTTCTAGGGAAAACCTTCAGGTATGCTATTGTGGCCAACACTTTCTTCAAAGGACCATCTTGAAATTCAGGGCGGAGACCGCCTCTGCGACCTTCGGGAGGGGCTTGAGTTCCATTTAGAACTTCTTGCCAGGCTCGTTCTGCCCAGGCATGATAAACTTGATCTAATAGGCGCTGCAGGGGTCCCTGTACCTCTTGGGTGGCCATCTGGTAGGTGTCCCCGTGCATGGTCCTGTTGGTCATGGCATGCTCGAGTTTGTTCACGAGGTCCTCGTACTCTGGGGGAGCTCTTGGTGGGCGGGCCTCTTGTGCCAAGACATGTCCATCCCCGCGACAGGGTCTGCAGCGCCCAAAGCCCTACTCAAGATACAATAACCGATGGTGGATGTTGTTCCTCCTGGCAGGTACGCGGGCGTTTCGGGGACGCGCAATACCGCGGCAAATTTGGCCCGCGGCTGGAAGGTCTCGACCTTCTTTGCTGCCATGCCGACATCACCTCCTACAGCGAATGGCACTGCTGCTTTAGAAACTTTCTTCCACAACTGGCTTAGGATGGTCCTATTCGCTTCGTGTAGCTGCACTTGGTCCTGCAAGTACACGCTGAACAACTGCATGGCCCCTAGGGCTGACGTTCGGAAAACACAGCTCGCCAGTCTGCCAGGGACCACCATGCCATCATTACCCAACCAGAAGCCCGAGTGCTTTTTAATCAAAGCCATTGTGTCACTCGTGGGGCACATGGGGTTCGTTAAATCGGCGGGAGCCACATCGGAGTGCCACCCCATCTTGAATGCGGTTGCACGAACATCGGCGAGTTTCTCGCCGTAGAGCTTGTGCGCATGAAAAACAATGACCTCATGACCCGAGACTTGCAGGCATTCTATACATGTGGCCCAACAGGATCCATTGAGTGTCTGACTGCGGAGCCTTACTGGGTTGCCTCTCGATGGGGGGGAGCCGATCCTGCGGCTCCTCCTGAAGGAGCGTTTGGATCTGCTGGGCGGACAGGTGAGCTGGAACGTGGTTCTCTCGCTGCAGGTCGGACTGCGCTGGCTGCTTTTTTTTTTCTGGGCATATGTTTCCTGGATCCGCGGGACAGCTGAATCAGGGAGTTCTTCCAAGAGTGTCGTGTGGAAGTCCTCGCCGTATGGAAAGATGTCCTCAAGGGTCGCGTTTGCTTCCACGGCTTCCTCTGCATCAGCTTCACGGGCTTCCTGGTCCATCTCAAAATTCTGCTGCTGTGCATCGAGATCAGGGAAGACGGCCCGCGATGGCCACCTCCCCTTGCCTGTCTGTTTCCCTTTGGCATGCGTCCCCTCCTCAGGCGGCTGGAGGGGGGTGGCGGCCATGTTGGTGGCCGCCGTGTAAACTTCCCCTAGCTGGGGGCCGATGGAGTTGACCGCCTCCTTGTAGAGGTTGCCCAGGTGAGTCTTGTTGGCCATGTCGAGCTTGCCGATGACCGCAGTCAAGGCCTCGAGGTCGACCCCCAGCTGGTCGGGCGACGGGGTACCCTGCGACTCCTGGATTCGAGAGGCCATCGTATACCTGTAATGCTCGATGGCTGCGTTCTCTTCCTCGATGAGGGTCTGGAGCGTCCTTCCCTTCTCCTCCAGGTTCTCAATCTTTACCAAAATCTGGTTCTGGCGCTCCTCCATCCTCTGTGTTCTCTGTTCACGACGTCGAATGTCTTGTTCACTGTGTTGAAGGACTTTGGAAGCTGGTGTTCTGGCATCACGAATTGACCCTGAAGCGTTAAGAATCTGGTCCAATTTCCCCCTCGAGTCTTCAGGGAGAATGTCTTTGAACTTTGTGTCAGCACCTCGTACCAGCGCATGCAAGAACTGAATGCCATTCGGGGCTTGTCGGCGGTGGGCCCCTGGCTGTGACCACTGGTAGCCCGTGCCTCGGTCCTGGTGTGTCCTCCATCTTGGCGTGTGCCCCCTTGCCCACCTGTTTGCCAAACTCCACGAGGTGGTTGGGCGCGGTGGTGTTGGAGCCGTGGTAGGTCTGTACCGCAATGATAACACCATTTGGAATATTCTGGTTTGCGCTTACAGCCACAGAATTGCAAGCCATGCCTGTTGGAGCCCAGGCAGCAACATGAGGGGGGGCCATGCGCTCTTGTGTGAAAAGGAACGCGCGCCGCTGCGCACGCTGCGAATCGCTCGAGAATTGGCCACGGACAGTTGCCCAGACCTAATCGCTGATTCTCGGAACCTCGGCCCTTCACAACGTTTAAGTATTGAGCCAAAATGGCTACGGACTCTTCTACTCTACCTCCTCCAGCTCTTCGTCATCCTCCCCATTCCCCCCTCTCATCTTAGACCTCCCCTCCATCCCCGTCCTCCTTCTTGCTGACGTTGTTTCGAGTTCGTCTTCAGGTGTTTCGGGACTCCAGCCTTGGCCCCTGCGGTCTAGCGTAGGTTCTTGTTGAGCAAAGTCTTGAAGCGCTTCGCTGTGGTCCTTGTCCTTGTTCTGTCAGGCTTTGTTCATACCCGTCACGGCCGGCCCTGGTTTTAACCATGCTCGTCTTAGCGATTGTTTTGGCCAGGGGGGATCTGCCAACGGACCACGGTGTTCTGGTATTGTTTCATGCGGTGTCAGCCACAAGACCAATCTCGTTCTCCGACTATGCCAACAAGATGTTTCGTCTAGCTTGAATCATCGAAGCTCTCTGGTACGTATACCAAGTATGCTGCTCCAATGTTCTGAGGGGCTTCATCCCTGGACGATCGCTCATAGACAAATTCGTGTCCCTGGAGGCTGACGTTTCGCATATGTGATTCTGTTCAAAAGTGCATGCTTGATGCTGGGCTTGTTTGTTACATCGTAGCTGCTGCCTTCCCCGGCATCCTCCACTCTTATCTTCTTGGGTAACCATTTTGGCTCAAGCCGCGTGGCTCAAGGCGGCGCAGAAGTTCACTGTTGCGTTCTTGCTTGGATTGTATTTCTGAACTGTCCCGCACAAGCCCTTTCATGGATGAGGCGTTCGGTGTTGTGTCGACTTTGGTAGGCCAAGTCCTTCCGCTTATTTCCGCAGATTCAGACCAGCATTATCATTTGCTCAACTTGGCGGTGCATCAACAGCGTTGGCATCGGGGCCCCATCACACGACGTTGCGCGCGAGAATTGGCAACAGCATTCCAATTATTGCGGCGCTATACTGACCGATGGGCAGATGAGTTCTTGCGTTCTGTGGGGAGCGGGCTCTCAGCAGCTTGCTCGAGCAAGGTAAGGTGCTGCAGTATTAACGCATCCCTTGTTTGTTATGCGGCCGCGTCATCGTTTTAATCGGGACGCGGAGCTGTTTAATCCAATTCCGAAGACAGCTCTGGGCACTGTGGTGACGCCAGAGTTATACTCGATTCCGCATGTTGAAGACTTCGCTCGTCAGTCTTATGACTCTCCACTTGCATCGAATCAGGCGCTCGTGGACGCGCAGAATGAATCCCTGGTTAAGTCGAATGAGACTGTGGACAAGCAGGTTGCTATTGCGGCCACTGCACCGAAGGACACGGACCTCGACGAGCAGCAGGTCTCTTCTTCGTAATCAGCTTCGGCGTCGTCGGCTGCGGGTGGTGACGGCACGGACCCTGACGAGAGTGGCGAGAGCGAGGTGGACGCGAAAATGCCCGATTTCTGGTCTGCAATGAATAACCGCCAGTTCCAAATCGACGCGCTACCCCTCAAGATTAACACGAGGATTGTTCGCGGACTGCGCGAGATCTCGAGCTTCATCCCTGACTTGATCAAGGACACTGTTGCCGATGCAGGTCGGGCTTTGAGGCCCTCACTGCCGAGTGTGCCGCGGGCGCCAGCCTGTCAGCTGCAGTAGAAGATCACTTGTTTGACATTCTCGAAGCTCTAAGTCAGGCCGAGGAACGCGCCCAGACCTGGCTTGACGAATGCCAAAATTCAAATTCGCGAGCATTTCGACACGTGAACGACTTTCCCGGTTCACCTTCAGAGCTAAATCCACGGCTTCCCAGCCCGGCTACCAGGACGCGATCCCATTGCTGAAGGCCGCTCACCAACGGTGCACGTGAGGTCGGTAAGTTGCCGTTTTCCTGTGTCGTCATCGTTTGTTCGGCCAGATTTGGGCGCTCAGCTCTGTCGGTACGGCAGGAAGTGTCATCGCAGAGACTGCGTGTACCTTCACCCTGACGGTCGTGCGATCAACGTAGAGGCTCTGGCACTGGGAAGCCGAGACATGCCATCTCTGCCACGGGCGTCCAGCGTCGGCTACACCAAATTTGACGGTATCGGAGCTCCTGACCAAGAGGAGGAAGAGGCTACTGTCCGTGATTTGATTGGCATGTCTGTAGATGTGTTTCTTGGGGCCGATCTGAATTGAAGGCATGGTGTTCTTGTGGTGTCATGCTGCTGACAATTTCTGTTTTGGTAGTGGAGCCATGCGGTGTTCATACTATTCAGTGTTGCGTGCTGCTTGTACGGCTTCCATCTCAGTGCCTCGGCTGCGTCGCCATCTACATCTTCCTTGGCTTCCCTGACATGGGGGGCTTCGCCACCACTTCTCACCCGTGCTGCGGGTAGCGGATTCGACGTGGATTTACATGAGTCGCCTCTCTGGCCACGCTTGACCTCCACTCCCATATTCTGGGTCTTGGAGTCTATGTGTGTGCCCTGAAGGTTCAAAAATGCATTCCGCTCATGTGTGCTGGGTGTTTGATTGTTATATCCTTTGAGGAGAACCGGCAGTACCAGACCCTGATCTCCAGAGGTATCAAACAGGCGTCCACTCAGTGGGTCAGTGTTCGCCCTTTGTTTTGACCCCATCCTTTGTCTTCTTGCTCGTCAGCTTCCTCGTTCGTTTTCTGTTGCCAGGGCGTTCGCTGATGGTGCTGGTGTCGGAGGGCCATCTGTCTCTGATGTGCTCAAGGCATACCTTCCTGTGTTCCTCGTCGTCCAGGGCGCCGCTGGATTCGTCTGAAGTCAGGCTGCGACCCAGGTTGCGACACCCGGGAACTCTGCCAGGAGCGCAGGAGCTCGAGCGCAGGAGGTCGAGCGTCGTGGGATGCATGTTGCTCGAATTATATCCGTGGCTATTGGTAAACACCTTGTTGATTCTCGGGCCCAGTCGCATCTCTTCTTCCTGGAGTGGGCCTGGGCTTAAGCTTGTGCAGCGCACCTGGGATACATGCCGAGAGCGCGGATTTGTTCATGAGCAGCGCTCCCGATGACGGCTGGCGAAGTGCGTGCCCAGAGAACACAGGGCTGCTCAGGACCATCGTCTCTTGCCAAGACGTATGGAAGAAGTATCTCGGTAACGCGGAGTTGCGCGTAATCGCCGTTCCATGTTACGCTCTGTGAAAGAATGCTCCGGAAATTCAGGCCTGCTTATGACCAGTATTTGGATGTCGCCATACATGGAAGCAGTATTTCGACAATGCAGGTTTGCTTGCGAGTGGCTTTTAGCCGCACGCTTGGCGAATTACACATTCCAAGACAACATGCATGCGAACGAGCTGCATTCAGTTCTACATCGCAAGTATTGACATGTTTGGGATGCAGTTTTGCACAACACCAAAGTGCATTGCCATATTCTTTTATGTGAATACCGTCCGGCAAATCGAAACCATGCATGGTGTTACCGCTCATTCGTTGCGCCATATACCATTTTTCGTTCAAGTGGAATTGCCAATTGAAGGGTTTGCGCGTTTTGCATTCCCTTGTTCGCCTGGCTGTTGGTGTTCTATGGTGCAGTTCGTCAGCGCCGAGTCCGATGTGCCTAGTACCATATAATAGTTCGAAGTTCAGTTTCGATGTACGTTGGTTTACTAGTGTTGGCGGTTATTGCTCAAGTTGTATATGCGCCGTGTGCGTTTAGTTTGTGATATTGTGTGTGTGTGCGCATTGCAGAAGTATGTGGATCATCATTACTCCCCTGAATGCCGTATGACAGTTTCTCCGTCAGTTGTGCGGTGGTGGAAGTTGGCGGGAGCCTGGCGGAAGGTTGCGAAAACGGCAAAATGCATGCTGCTCCATGCGGGGGAGTCTCGTGGCAGGTTCGCGGAGTGTTGCGGGCCGCGCGGATTCATCCCACCCCCTTGGGACCCTTTTCCGGAACTCCGCATTATTACTATGTTTCCTCCTCTTCCTCCTTCTTCTCCTTCCCTTCATCGAGGCCACGCTCCTCCTCCTCCTCCTCCTCCTCCTCCTCCTCCTCCTCCTCCTCCTCCTCCCTCTCCTCCTCCTCCATCTCGCCCCTCGCCTTTGCTTCCTTCTTCCTCCTCCCCCTCCTCCTTCTTGTCCTCTTCGCCCGCCCTCACCCCCTCCTCCTCACTATCATCCTTCCCTCCGCCTTTCTCCTTTTCCCTTGGGATCTGACATGGCGAAAAGTTGCAACATCATGAATGCCAGGACAAAAGCCCTAGTCCCTTGGCTTCTGCCGCATTTTCGAACCGGATCGGTCTGTGATGGTCTTGGGGCTGGCAACGGGCGAAAACGCCACGTGTGAGAATTAAATGCGACGCCCGGATCTCAGGGTTCCGCCTCCCGCGTCTTCGTCGTCCCACTTCTCTGCAGGCGCAGGCAGCCAGCGAGGGGCCCGGCTGACCGCGACGGCGCGGAGGACGACGCCGAGGCCGCGTGCGCCAGGACGCCCCCGCAGCCGCGGGGGCGCCAGGCACAGGGGCTGAAGCCCGACGAGGCCGAGGTCCGACGGAGGGGGGAAGGGGGGGAAGGAGGAATGAGGGAGGGAGGGAGGGGAGGGGGGAAGGGGGGAATGGGGGGGAAGGGGAGTGAGGGAGGGAGGGGGGAAGGGGCGCAAGGAGGAGTGAGTGAGGGGAGGGGAGGAGGAGCATCGAGGCCTCTTATATGGGGCCCGAGTAGATGGGATCGACGGATCGCGCCGCATCGCCGATGCATCGTCGAAACATCGGCGACGTTTGCGATGCATCGTCGATGCATCGGCGGTGTGGTGCTATTCCCCGATGAGGCTTGCCGAACGGCTTCTCACTTGGTGAAGAATTGGTGTCTCGGGATCCAACTTTGCCCGTTCCCCGGACCTTCCTCGGGTTCCCCAGGTTCCTCGGGTTCCTCGGATTCTTCGGTTTCCGTGGGTTCTTCGGGTTCCCCCGGTTCTTCGGGTTCCTCGGGTTTCGCGGGTTCCCCACGCAATGCCAAGCGATGCCAAGCAATGCCAAGCGATGCGCCCAGCGATGCGCCTATGCAATACGCTTTCCCCTACTTGGTGTCGCGCCCGGGTCATTTTGAAGGAAAACTGATGGAGTGGAGGAGGGAGGCGAAGGAGGAGGAGGAAGAGGAGGAGGAGGAGGAGGAGGAGGAGACGGAGGAGGAGGAGGAGGAGGAGGAGGAGGAGGAGGAGGAGGAGGAAGGAGGAAAGAGGAGGCCCGCTCCCGCGGCACCTGCGTCCGACTGCATCCTCTGATGGGCCATGGCCGCCCCCAGAGGCTTCCGTGGCCCACTGGGGGCGCGGGCTGTCCACGCTTCCAGGACAAGACGACGGGCGCTTTGTCTTCGCGATTCGGTCCTCCGGGGGCCACCGTTGGGCCCTGGCCCGGGGCCATCGTATGAACGAGCATGGTTAGCCAAACAGAAGCGTCCCAGGTCAAACGGAGAAGTCAGAGTCCGCTGGATACCGCGTCGCGCTTTCTGGCCGCATGTTGTAGCTTGGGTAGGGGGTACGTTTGGCCGCTCCGGAGCCTCCCGGGGCCCTCGATGCGTCCGACCAAGCCCTGGGGACGAGGTGGTGGACGCCATACAAAGCCTGTACGGGGACCAGCTGAAGCCATTCGGGAGAATCCTTCGCAAGCGCATCGCCGAGCACTTCGTCGAGAGGGAGGCCGCCAGGGCCGCGGGCGGCGCGGCCGCTGCCGGGGCCACGCCGCCCTTCCGCGGCTACGAGCAGTTGCCGGACGTGGACGTCAGGCACCTCAAGGCCGTCTGCGACGCGTGCGGGCAGGTCGACGTCGCGCCAGAAGAGGGCGGCGACTGGTCCGCGGTCCTCACGGCACGGGAGCAGTGCTTCGTCGACGTGTACAGCCCCGAGGACGTGTACTCATCCCGAAGAACAAAAGCTGCAGAAACATACACCCACGGAGGTGCGCGCAGATTTCTTGGATCTGCGTTGGGCCCCCACTGGCGACTCCTCCGGCGCTGCCCCTGGCGCGCTCTGCGCGCCAGGGAGGGGGTCCAGGGTCGATCCAAGAAATCCGTGCGGACCTCAGAAATTGTATGTTGGTGCCGTTTTTTTGTTCCTCTATCATCGTCCATGTGGTCCAGCGCAGCGGCGTACTTCGGGTCCCTCGAGGGGGAGGAGTCGCTGCTCCCGGGCGGGAGGTACTCGTGCGCCCAGGCGCTCGCCGCTCGGGGGCTGTCCTTCCTGGCGCAGTACTCCCTCGGGCAGGTCTGCCACATCGTACAGCTCGCCATCTCCACGAAGAAGATCCTGGGGTACTCGAATGGCGCCGTGGTGCCCTACAGCCGCTCCCAGTCCATGGTCAAGGAGCAGGCCGCCGAGGGCAACCAGCCGTGCGCAAGCTCCGGGGCAGACCCGCCCGGCGGCCAGGCCGCCCAGAGGCTGGGCCTGGCGACCTGGGACGTCGCGCGCAGCTGCCTGCGCGAGATCCTGCAGGGCGTCGCGGAGCCTGGCGCGGGCCCAGCCTCGCTGCCCCTGTCGAACGTGAAGCGGCTCTTCCGCTCGAAGTACCAGATCGAGCTCAGCGAGACGACGCTGGGGCACTCGAGGCTGTCGGAGCTGCTGCAGGACGAGCGTTTCGCCGACGTGTGCACGGTGGAGCTGCACGGCCACGGCTACATGGTCGTGCAGGCCGACGCCAGCGCAGCCGCCGACCGAGAGCCCGGCGAGGCGCCCGGCGAGGCTCCAGGGCGGGAGCTCCTCGCGCAGCAGGGCGAGCCGAGCACGGGGCCGCGGCGGCTCTTCTGCCCGGACGAGCCTCTCGATTTCGACGAGGACGCCGTGCTCCGAGGGGGAGCTGCGCTGCAGCCCGTGCACGTGCCCGCCACGCCCCTGCAGTCCCCCGGCGACCCCACGCCGTCGACGGTCAGCAGGTGGGCGCCCGTTCACGTGCCCGTCACCCCGCTGCAGTCGCCCGGCGACCCGACACCCTCCACCGCGAGCAGGTGGCGATCCAGCGGGTACTCGCACGCGTCTATAGTTATAGTGCGCACCAGCGTCGATTAGCGTGTGGTCAGCGATGAGACAGCGCCGATTTTCGCGTCGAGTAGCGCCGATCTAGCGTCGTTATGACTGTTGATCCGCGTCGGCTCGCCAGAGATGGTGTGGGGTGCGTATGAGGTTGAAGGGAGGAAACAAACACCCCGAGCCCGATAATTGGCGTTTACTACGGCCCTGGGCGTTTACTAAACAGCCCTGCGCTGTTCGATTCCATCCTTGGGTGCGCTGGCCAAGCGGCTTCGCGTGTCGGGTGCTTTCTGTGAGGGTGGAGCTTCTTCCCTCGATGGAGTGCCCCTATGATTTGCCACAGAAGGTACTCGCACCCCTCCTTCAGCCTCGACCACCAGGCCGCCGGCTACGCCAGCGCGGGCCTCGCTCGCGCGGCCGTGCCGCCGCCCTCTGCGGCGTACCTGCACCTGCCGGCCCCCCCGGGCGCCGGCCGACAGAGGGCCCACTCGCTGCCACGGGCCCCAGGCGCCGACGGCGCCGCCCTCGAGGCGGCGGGCCCGGAGCTCTCCGCGGAGCAGGCTCGGGCGGGTGGCACTGGGGGGCGACCTCTTATAATCGGGGGTGAGAGATGCCGTCAAGGGGCCCTGCAGGCCCCTTTGGGAGCCAGCAGGGGCCCAACAGGGCCTTGCTCTTCACCCCCCCATGTAGGTCACCCCCCCGTGCCACCCGCCCGACAGGCGCTGTCCGCCGAGGCGGGGCTGGAGCCGCGGAGCCCGAAGCCCGACGACGCGCCGATGAAGATCCTCAGCAGCCTGTCGCTGGACGGGGAGGCTCGAGGAGCAACCGAACGGCACAACCATCAACTTTCGGAGCTCCGCGCGGACTTCTTGGGTCGGCGCCGGGTCCCCCGAGGCGGCGCCTCCGGCGCCGCCAGGGACGGGGGACCGTGAGCCTCCGGACCTGTATGGTTCGGTGGTTCTATGTTGCTCCTTCAGAGGCCAGCTGGGGCGAGGGCGCCGGCGCGGCTGCCCCGCCGCGGGTTCCGTTCTGCCCCAACGAGCCGCTGTCCCTGGAGGACGCGGGCGTGTTCGTGCCTGGGCTCAGCTCTCCTGGGCCCCTGGTCGCGCCGCCAGGCCTGTCGCCCGGGGAGCCAGGCAGGTCCAGGTGAGCGACGCCAGAAGTGTGTCCCGTTGCACCGGCGAGCTGCCCGCGTGAGGTCGCCCAGAAAAGCGAGTCACGCTGGCGGCCCGCGTAAGCCGCGGCGTGAGGTCGCTACGCCTTCTCGCGTAAGGCCCGTTCCTGTTAGTCGCTCAGGTGGCTGGCCCTCTCGCCCTCCTGGCCAGAGAAGGCGTCGAGCAGCGGCGTCGTGAAGAACACGTTCATACACCACCCGCCGCAGCTGCCCACGCCCGCGCCCGGGGCAGCGAGGCGGGCGCGCAGCCTGCCAAAGGAGGCGGGGCTCCACCGGCCGCCCGGTTGGGAGGCCTTCGACCAGCCGCCCGCGCCCGTGGGCTCCGAGCGATCTGGCGCGCTGGAGGGCGGCGGCGTGCTGCCCTCGCCCGGGCCGGCGCTCGTGCCGCCCAGCCCAGCGCTCACGGCCTCGCCGGGAGGCTACTGGCAGGGCCTGGGGCGGCTGCCGCGCACGCCCGTGGGCAGCCCCACGGGCCAGAGCGGCCAGCAGGTGCTCCTGCTCTCGGACCTGCTCTGAGCCGCGGCCCAGCCCGCAGGTGCGGCTGCCCTGGAGGCACAGCCCGGCGATGGGCACAGCCTGAGAGCCGCCGGGCCCACCAAAAGCGAAGCCGCCTCCCCGAGATGCAGGCGGTGCGAGATCTTGTCGCACCGGGCCCTGTCGCAGAATTTCGGGCCCTGGGCCATCACACACGAATCCGCCTCATAAAATAACCAGAAAGGTCGGGGTGTAGGGTCCAGTCGTGATGCTGCGCGATGTTGCAAAAGTGTTCGTGACGTCGGATCTCAGGGCTCCGCAGGCCCCCGACGGATTGCTTCCGCGAGCCCCAGAGGTCTCCGATGGATGGTGGACCGTCTGGGGCCCCGAAGAGGGCCCCGGGAGGCCGAACTGCGGAGGTTGTTAAAGGTGGCTCCGGCCCAAGGTGCCCCCGGCTTTTCGCTCCACTTGCCAGATTTTGGAGCCCCTAGGGCTGCTTGGGCTTCGTGAGGGGTGCTCTGGAGGCCGTCTGGGTTCCCCGAGACCCCTGGGGGCACTGTGGGCCATGGGCACTTGTAGCAGCACCCGAGAACTGGAGGACAGACGCCAGGATCGAGAGCATCAGTCCAGCCAGAGTCCAGGTCCTCGTCGTCCCCAGTGCGCTCACCACAGGATAGTCCGACGGCGGTAGCACGGCAGGGCTGCAGCCCAAGCCGCGGGAGCGCGATCTGCGGTGAGGCCCTCCGTGGAAGGGGGCGGGTGGACCCAGACCCCCTCGGGTTATGAAAAAGTCATGGCGGTAGGTTTTTCGTTATTTACGGCCTCTGTGAGGCCCATACCAGCCCTCGGGACCGTCAAAAACGACTCAGGATGAAAAACGGGTCCCAGGGAACGGGTCGAGACTTTTGGATGTCGAGGTCGAGACTTTTGGATGTCGGCGTTATGAACAAGTCATGACGCTGGGGGTCTGGGGAGGCTGTCGCCATAATTGCGTGCCCCCTTGGCCGTGAGCCGCGGCCGTCGCCGCAGCGCCTTTCGCAGTCGCGCTTCGTCCGCAAGCACCTCCGGTTCGTTGAGCAAATCAAGATGGCAGGCTTTTCCAGAGTCTCGGCCTTTGAGGGGCCAGTGTCGGGACCCCTGGGCCGTGACACAAGCGATGCATGAGAGGCCAGTCTCGGGGAAGAGGCCGTCGATGCCTTCCGAGGTCCACGATGTGAACATCACGACATCAGCCTGTCTTTAGGGCTGGTTTTAGTTGAGTGAGTTGAGTGTTTTTGTGTTTTGATGCTGATGACGATGGTAATGGTGGTGATCTGATGGTGATGGCGATGGTGCTGGTGATGATGGTGGTGATCATCACATCCACCATCACCATCATCACCATCACCATCATCACCATCACAATCGCCCTCACCATACCATCATCACCATCCCCATCATCATCACTATCCATACCATCACCATCGCCATCGCCATCATCATCATCACCATTGTGGTCCGTAGGACTTGGCTCAAGGCAATGTCGTTCCCTGCGGCTTCCCCGAGCCCTGAATCGATTGAGTTTCCCTATTGTGAATGATGGCGATGATGATGGTGATGGTGATGGGGGCGACTGCGAAGGTGATGATGCTGATGGTGATGGCGATGATGGGGACTATCGTAAATCATATTCTTCCGCCGCTCCTCCTCCTCCTCCTCCTCATTATCATCATCATTGGTTTTCGATGGTTTTGATGGTGATGATGGGGACTATCGTCAATCATATTCTTCCGCCGCTCCTCCTTCTCCTCATCACCATCATCGGTTTTCGATGGTGTTCATCTTCATCACCGTCATCATCGTCATCATCATCATCGTCGTCGTCGTCGTCGTCGTCGTTGTCATCGTCATCATCGGCGGCAAGCAAGTACTGCGGGCGACGACGACGACGACGACGACGACACCCTCCGTCCACGACGACGACAACGACGATCCCCTCCGTCCACGACGACGACGACGATGACGACGACGACGACGGCGGCGGCGGCGGCGACGGCGGCAAGCATGGATTTTCTTTAAGTTGTTGATGGAATTTGGCCTCTTGGAGGGGTCCTTGGAGGGCTCGGAGGGCACTTGAAACCATGGGCCGTCTTGAGGCCTCTTGGAGGCATGTCGGAGGCTATCTTGAGCTATCTTGAGGTATCTTGGGCCATCTTGGAGGCCATCTTGGGCTCTATGAGGCTCTCTTGGAGCCGTCTTGGGCCATCTTGGACGCTCTAACCCCTCGCCCCCCTCCCCCCCCTCCGGGCCCAGGGAGGGGGGGGAGGTAAACCTCCCCGAACAGAGGGAGGAAGGAGGAATTTGAGATCTAACATCCCACGTTAGATCTCCTCCTCCCCCTCCTGCTTCCCCCCCAGAGGCTTTCAAGACCCCTCTCCCCCGGAGGCTTTCAATACATTCGTGTGCTCGCCGAAGTTTGAAAACGACCCCCTCCGTCCACGGCGACGACGACGGCCCCCTTCCGTCCATGACGACGACGACGACGACGACGACGACGACGACGACGGCGGCGGCGGCGGCGACGTCGACGGCGTTGACGACGAAGCCCTCCGTCCACGACGACGACGACGACCCCCTCCGTCCATGACGACGACGACGACGACGACGACGACGACGACGACGACGACGACGACGACGACGACGACGACGGCGGCGGCGGCGGCGGCTGCGGCGACGGCGGCGGCGGCGACGGCGACGGCGTCGACGACGGCGAAGGCGTCGTCGTCGTCGTCGCCACGCCGCCGGGCGTCCCTCAGCAGGGCGGGCCGGGCGCTTCGCCTGAGCCCCCCCCCCCCCTGAGCTCCCTGGGAGCTCTAACATGCTATGTTAGAGCTCCCTGGGAACTCTAACATGCTATGTTAGAGCTCCCTTGGAGCTTTAACATAGCATGCTAGAGCTCAAAACGAAATCTACCATGTGAAGTTAGATCTCAAATCGAGCTTTCATAGAGCTCAACTCGAGATCTACCTTCTTACGTTGGATCTCAACTCCAGGTAGACCTCAAGTCGAGCTCTAACATGCCATGCTCGAGCCCCCTGGGAGCTCTAACATGCCATGTTAGAGCTCGAGCTGAGCTCGAACATGCTATGTTAGAGCTCCCTCTCTCTCCCTGGGAGCTCTAACACCATGTGTTAGATCACATGCTATGTTAGATTTCCTTCGGAGCTCTAACATAACATGTTAGAGCCCACATCGAGCTCTAACACAGCTATAAGCAGACAGAGCGAGAGACAGAGCGAGAGAGAGAGAGAGACACAGCGAGCGAGAGAGAGAGAGAGGGAGCTCCAAAGGTTCCGGTGGAGATCGCTCCAAAGGTTTCGGTGGGGATTGGAAGGTTGCGCTGTTTGCAACAACGGTGAATTGGGAGATCTCTGGTAGCGAATGGTGCGGGTGCTGCTGTTGGTGCTGTTGCTGCTGCTGGTACTGCTGGTGGTCGTGCTGCTGCTGGTGCTGCTGGTGGTGTTGTTGGTTCTCGTGCTGTTGTTGCTGCTGCTGGCACTGCTGCTGGTGCCGTTGTTTGTGTTGGTGGTGGTGCTGCTGCTGCTGCCAGTGCTGCTGCTGGTCTTGCTGGTTCTGGTGCCGCCCAGCCGTGGCGACGAGGAGGCCCCCCGAAGGCAAACCTCGAGGCTCGAGGTTTGAACCTCGATGTGTACCCCCTCCCCCGCCCACCTCCCTCCCTCTCCCGGCCGCCGCCGCCGCCGCCGCCGCCGCCGCCGTCGCCGCCGTCGTCGTCGTCGTCGTCGTCGTCGTCGTCGTCGTCGTCGTCTCTGATGTCGCTGTCCTCGCCGCGAGGAGGAGGAGGAAGGAGGAGGAGAAAGTGGACAAGGAGCAGGAGGAGGTGAGGGAGGGGGAGGAGAGAGGAGGGAGGAGGAGGAGTAGGCTGACAAGGAGGAGGAGGATAATGAGGAGGAGGAGAAGGATGAGGGGGAACAAGAAACATGGATAACATAAGAGCCTCCTCGGATGTCTCTTGGAAGTTTTTAGAGGCATCTTCGGGCGTCGAGCATCCTATGTTCGAACTCGATTTGAGTTCTAACATCACTTGTTTGAACTCGATGCGAGTTCGAACGCCCTACGTTGGAAGCATGTTAGAGCTCCCTGGGAGCCTCCCATGGGCGCTTAACAGGACACGTTAGAGCTCCCAGGGAGCTCTAACATCCTATGTTAGATCTCCCAGTGAGCTCCAACAGAGCATGGTAGATCTCCCAGGGAGCTCTAACATGTCTCGTTAGAGATCCCTGCCAGGGAGCTCTAACATGGAGCTCTAACATGGCCTGTTAGAGCTCCCAGGGAGCTCTAACACCGCATGTTAGAGCTCCATTTGAGCTCTAATAGCTTTCGTTTTGGGGCTCTAACATGCCATGTTGGAGCCCCCTGGGAGCTCTGTTTGAGCTGTTATCAGAGCTCCGCGGGAGCTCTAACATAGCATGTTAGAGCTCCCACGGAGCTCGAACCCAGCAAGTCAGAGCTCGATTTGAGCTCTGACTGCGCCGGTGCCCCGAGGGGCCCTGGCGGCGAGACCCTTCCAACATCGATTTTGAATCCGTCAAGGGCCCCTGGGGGGGGGGGGGCTTAACAGGTTCCAGATCGATTTTGAGCCGGTTAAAACCCCCCCCTGGCGGAGGGGGGTCTTAACCGGTGAGCTCTTACATAGCATGTTAGAGTTCCCTGGGATAACATTTCATGTTAGAGCTCCCTGGAGCTCTAACAGGCTATGTTAGAGCTCCCAGGGAGCTCGAACAGACGACGTTAGAGCTCCCAGGAGATCTAACATGCCATGTTCGAGCTGCCTGGGAGCTCTAACATGTGCTGTTAGAGCTCCCGACGAACTCTAACATAGCATGTTAGAGCTCCCAGGGACCTCTAACATTGCACGCTAGAGCTCCACGTGAGCTCTAAGGGAGATCCGACTCCGCCGGCCCCCAGGGGGCCTGGGGGCGACACCCCTTCAATTTTTTTCTTCAGCGGGGAAGGCCTCCTGGGGGAGGCGGGGGGGGGCTCAGCAACTCCAAAAGCGACTTTGGCCGGGTAAGCCCCCCCCCGGAAGGGGGCGACTGGTTGTTACTGTGGCCCGTTGGGTGTTAAT